TTTATTTGGTTTGTTTCACACTGAAATCATAGGCTGGAAAACAAGAATTTCCATTTCTTGGGTTTGTTTGAACATCCAAAAATTAAGAAATATCATTTCAACCGCCGTTTCAATAGTGCTTTAAGCAATTAAATATTACCTTTTAATCCCAGCCGTCGTTTCATCGCAATTAAAAATTGCTTGAAGTGACATTTCTCACTCATTTCAGCCCCTTTTGGTTTGAAATGAGTTTTCTACAAAAGCTGATGTGACACCCCATTTCACCCCCTCATTTCTTTAAATCACACAGCGAACCAAACGCGGGGAATGAAAATGTCTTGAAATCAAAATTCTATGTAGCGGTGTTGTCAGATTTCAAATCCTCCATTTCTCTCTTTTTTTTAGCAAAGAAACAGCCCCCTAGAATAAATAACAGCCGTATTGAATATCGATTGGCACAACATTTAAGTGCAAGATCCAAATTCTTTATAGCAAAATAATACTCGAAAAAAATAAAAGTTCTTTCAAATCTATCTAGAAACCAATCATCAAAGAAATCAGTAAAAACACGTATCAAGGCTGAGAATTAAGCCGAGATGATGAGTTCAAATTATGAACTTCAAGAAAGAGAGCATGTAAATGACCCTTTAAGAAGCAAATTAATTGCTTTAGACAACAAGAGGCAAGGAGACTGCAAAGGCTGCCCGGCTAAAGCAAAGCTGAAGCTAAAACATAGCAGGAAAAGAGAAGTTCGATGCCAGAACATAACTGGAGAAACTTCACCACATGACGTATCTTTCAACCAAGTAGACAAAAGAATCAATATAGACATCTTAATGATCATCACTCTATGAATTTTTAAAAAAAATTAAAACTATGTGATGATCAGTCTCTTTGGCATTATAATCTTAACTGCCAACTTCCAAGAATTTGGATCCTCTCCGCTAAAAAGAAAGTGATGAAGAGACCGTCACTTTTAATCCTAAAATCCCAAACGTTGATTATCTAGTGGGTGATTGTGATAAATTCTAAATCTAACATTCATCATTACCCCCGAGCATCGCACTCAAAGGAAAGATCATAATCACCGACTAGATGATCAATTGTTGTGATCAAGTAGTGGTGCATCCAATATTTTTTTCAATAATGGAGAGGTTTTGAATCCACCTATAATCGATTTTCCTAACCAAGTGCTAATGGGCATTCCCTGGGGATGAGTCAGAGAGAAGAATAGCAAGTGTATCCCTCCTAATTTGCACTAATTTCCCCCTTATTTCTACTCTCTATCTCTCATCCACTAATAAATACCCATAGGCACATGAATAATAATAACAAAGGGGTAGCAATACAAATACCGATTATTACTGTCCATAATAAGATATCAATATTCGCTTGAAAATGGGAGAGTTGGTATTTGTTTCCTCTCTTCAGCAAACCAAAAAGGTAACGAAATCTCAACACTCACTTTCTAAAATGAGAATCACAGATCATTTTTAGGAGAACCATAGTTCATAAATAGAATATGCATATCAACACTTGAAGGAAAACAGAATGCAGATAAGGATCACCATGAAAAGATATTGATTCTATTCATCATATAAAATTTGCTAGAACAAATATGCTGACATCTACCCAGTAAATCTCTTAAATTGGCATGTAAAAATTTACCCCATTCAGCACCTAAGCAATCAAAAGTTCAACTGCAAATTCATGCTCAGGGGTTCATGGTCAATGGAGTATTAAAACCATATAACTAACAAGATCACTTGCAAGAAAGCCTATAGTGAATCATCAAAATCATCCTTTGTGTTCATTTCAAACCCATTGGGTAAGAAGAACGAAAAGGTATCAAGGAATCAAAGCTCGCCTTATTGCCTTCGTCCCCTTCCTTTCTTCGGGGCCTGCTGCTCAACCTGCTCTTTGCCAGTGACCTCCGCTATGTCAGCTGCAAAATTGAAGGAATTTTGATTGATGAAATAGACGTAAATGAAAACAATATTGAGGAAATACGGAGCTGAAAATATCATCATAAATGCTAATAAATTTCTGCATACCATCAGGACCCCGAGCCATCAAAGTGAAAAAGATGTTATTGAGCTTCTCCATCTTCTTCGCTTCTTGTGCCTGATCTGTCTTGAACTTTAGGCACTGCATTATTATTTCCAACAATCATAAGTCAATGCAAATAATTTGGGGTGGTGGGCGGGGGGGGGGGGGGGGGTAGAAAGATAGGCTAGTCAAACTGAAATGGGAAAAAATCTGCATTGGACCCTAATCCTAAAGGACAACTAAATTAACTAATAAACAAGTTCAAAGTATTTTTTTCAAACTTACAATATGTATTGACAATATTTCAGACAATTCAATATCTACTATTAATTTCTTGAAGTACAGTACAAACCAGGGACTACACAGTTGCAAAGAGATGCAAGGAAACAACATACAATACGAGTAACAAAAGTGTACGCCTTAAGCGATGATTATATGCATGAATGTAAACCACTCTCACATGGATGTGGAAGGAGAGGTCAACTGACAGCTATTAAACATCTTCACTTTCTCATGAGTACTAGCTTTCCAAAATAGTTACTAGAGCTGATAGAACTATGTCATTCAGTTGATTTCTTCTTTCCTATCATCAGGAGCATGGAAGTTGCCTATGCACGTGCTTTAGGATTTCAAACAACCTAATGTCTTACACTGTTACACACTTTATTAATTCAAATAAGAGCTTCTGTGTCCCTACAAGAATTAATTAAACATGATACACATTTTTCGTGAAATTCCTTGAATATACCAAAAAAGTTTGCCCCGAAGACATCTATAAAAGAGAATTTGCATGTATAGGAGCATTCAGCTGAAGAAATTAAACACATAGAATAAACAGGATTAATTCACCACTGAGTTTTTGGAATGGGAAAAGGGGGTACAATTTTTTTCCCCTCTGTGGAAAGTGTGCTCGTAATTAAAAACTGAAGACAAAACAATCTGCTACCTAGACTTGTACTACAGCATGACTGCCATTTACCATAAACTTTGAACCTTCTCTTACATACTTGTACTTTTATCGCAATTTTGATGATACAGAGACCAACAAATATAAATCGAATGTGCCAATAGAAGCGAAGGAAGTTCTTCACCATGTTCTTTGACGAAACAACAGTTGATCCATATACCACCAGTTTTTTCTTGCTCCTCTACTTCAACCAACTGGTGGTTTGTAGGAGTTTCTGCACTAGCCAGTAGCTACCGATATCCTGGTTGTTACAGAATAAAATACATACATTTTGATCTGTGGACCAAAGATTGAAGTGTCACTACTACTCTTAACAGCACTTTTGATGTCTGCAATGAAGATAATAAAAAATATATATACTTTACATGTGTGGGGCTCTGGGACTCCTTCCCCATTTTTTGCTAATGTTCATGTGTTTGCTGATTTTTTTTTTTTTTTTTACATTGGCAAGAATCATGCCGTTAGAATGTGCCTTTAACAGTTCATACATATCTCATGTTTTGCCAACCCAATTTTTATTGGGTGAAAAGTGCACATGGTTTACCTACAGATGAAAAGCATAAACACACAAGCACATATATGAAACTCAAAATTATCTAAACCACTAAACCACAGAAAATATCTGTATGTTCCCCAAAAACACCATCTAAATTGATAAAGCATTTGACAACATGTAATGACCAACACTCCATGCATATTCAGACTAGAAACTACAATCTAATGTTCTTATGCGTGAATGATAAATCTGATACCATTGCCCTTTCTAGGGAGGCTCAAAAGCATAACTATCATTTCTATCATATTGTTGACTTGATATCCACCTCTCTCATGTTCACGATCAGGATCATGATTCTTATCATAATCCATAATTCCATGTACACCTGCTGTTGAAATTTAACAACGTAGATGGAGCCTTCACTTCACTCATAGTCTGAATTTATCTCAGTGAAGTTATAGTTGCAAAAAAAAATTATCTGTGTGGGCTATGAATCCACATATCAGGCAGGAAAACACCAATCAGAATCATCTGACTATCACAGCATACATTTTTTCAAAAATGTCCTGGTACCATCTAGAATATAGTCTTATCCTCACACACATGGTTTATTTTACATGGTTGAATCATTAGAAACAAATTCTCTGAACATAATGGATTTTTTATTTCAGATTTCAGCTTGACCTTGATCTTGACCATGACATAATTTGCTACTCTTCTGCCACAAATTAGAAGCCATTTCTATAGGCACAATGTCCAAAATATTGAATAAAGATCCCAATTCGAATAATACCTTCACAATAACAAGAGAAGGAACTTTAATGTGTGCAGCTTATCTATACTTTCTCAGAACTTAAAAGAGTATCTGAACCATGGTTTTAAATGTCGGGCCGACATGTCGGATCAGAGGCTAGAGCGACACGAATATGACCATTTCAAGTCGGATATCGTTTTTGAGGTCCATGTCGGACATGTCGGGGGATATTGCGGACATATCGGCTGATTTTCAGCCTTGAAAAATAAAAAATCGACCGTTTTTTTTTTGGGGTTGATAAATATTGGGGTTTGGGTTTAGTACTCAAAAGGAACCTGATTAATTCTTTTTTTAGCCTTTTATTCCCATAGTAACCCGATAGCATATAATACAAATTGGGACAAAGAAAAAAAATATTGCTCTCAATTTCGTCGCGATCTCCTCTCGTTCGTCTTCGTCTCTACAAATTAAAATTGAGAATACATAAAAGTGTGATGTAAATAATAAGTTTAAACCGTAGCTTGAAATCAATTCAAATTCTAACACTTTATGTCAATTTTATGCAAGGCACTATACTTTATGTTAATTTTATACAAGGCACTTCGAAAGTTCTAGTTTGATAATGTATATTTTATTTATTTGTTAGCATAATATTCTAATGTTTCCCTTCAAGAAATGGAAAACGACTTGTGTCTTGATGATGAATACTCAACTCAAGTAGGATAAGTTATAACAAGACAAGTGCATTCCATCTTGGTGACCAAAATTGAGTAGAAATCCATCGGATATAGCAATCCGATATTTAGTATATGTCCCCCGACATATCCTCGATTTTCGCTATCCGACATGAATCCGATATCCAACATTTAAAACATTGATCTGAACCATCACTCGATTCCACTAGTGAAACTTACACACTACACTTCTCCATCAAATCCTATAAAAATCTTCACACGAGAAGCCAAAAATATCAAAATTTAGTCATGTTCCAATCAACTACAAGAATGTATCGATTTCGCATTCCCAATCTTGGTATGTCAACCTTTGGTTCTCTCTTAATAATATTGAACATATTTGCAATACGAGGCATTGCATGTTCCTCACAAAATTATTCTAGAAATTGTTTACCATTTTGCACCCACATCTAGGTAACCTTTTTCTTCCTAGTTATCTATAGATTCTATACTTCCTCAAAACTTAAAAGAGTATCTGAACCATCACTCGATTCCACTAGTGCAACTTCTACACTACCTTCTCTGTCAAATATGACAAAGAATTTTACAGGAGAAGCTGAAAACATCAAAACTTAGTCCTGTTTCGATCAACTACAAGAATTTATCAATTTAGTACTTCACATCTTGGTATGTCAACCTTTGATCCTCTTTTAATAATAGTGAACATTTTTTTTCTGACACCATCTTAGCGAGACATTGCATGTTTCGTCACATATTTATTCTAGAAACTATTTACCATTTTGCACCCACATTTAAGTATCCTTTTTCTTTCTAGTTATCTCCCTAAGCTTAATCTCCACACCTGCTTTCTTAAAAAAATACCATTTATGTTAATATCAAACTCTGTAAGTATGGCATCACAACTTTTACATATCAACCCTTTCCTCTTTTACATTTCACTAAATTTCATGCTGTTAAATATCATGATTAAATATATTTGATTTATTTTCTAACTAAAATTTGTTCCTCGGTTCCACTTTAATCGTTTTTGCTCACTTATGTCTTTAAAGTTTAGCATTGTGATTATTTATTTTCTTTGATATTTGTTAAAATGGGCTACACTAAATTTAAATTTTTATGTTGATAATTAAACTGACAAGAAACAAATGTAATCTAAAGTCAATTTGAATTTTCACGTAATTTAAACCAACATGAAACCAAGCTTGATTTGAGAAAGTATAATGTTGTAAAAGTGGAAAACACTTAAAAAAGTAGCGCTATAAAAGAAAGATGAATAATTAAAGCTAAAAGTCAAGATGATTAATTAAAAGTGAGCTAGAATGAAACTAAAGAGAATATGAAGTTTGTTGCTAATTAATTGATAGACTTCAGAAAAAATTATAAACTAAAAATTAACGCTAACTCTGGTATATTTTATATGATTAAAATATCCACATAACCATATAAAAATATTTAAAAAAGTTCATGAAAATCATTTCTAAAGATTCCTGATTTTACTCAAAAAATTTAAGGTATTCTATAAAATATTCCAAAAATAAATCTTTTATTTTTTCTATTTTACTTTTTATTGAGTTAAGATCAACCCTTCTCCACCTTTATCTTTTTTCTGAGTAATTCTAAAGTTGTGTCTTCATCGTCTATATTGATTGTGACATCAGGCTGAAGCTAGATTTCTTGTGCTATTATTTTTTCTTGAGCTCGTTCATATTTTGTCTTCTCATCTTACTTCATAAAGAAGTTGCATGCATTTTTTATGTTCAACAGAAATTCTAGAAATACAGACTTTGATTATTTTTTGTGTTTCAATGAGACTAAATGTTAATTTTCATATATATGAAATTTTTGTGTTTCTAATTTATTTTTTTTAAATAAGGTTAGGAGTTACTTCTTTTTTCTCTGTAATGAATTCTTCTGGTGTGCATCCAAAAAGAGTTTCTGTTATGTTAAATAATATTATTTTTACTCTATCTGTGATATTTTTCGCAATGATCTGAACTAAATAACTATATTTTTTATTATCAAATTGTCTTAGATTATAATGTTAATATCTAATATTGATATGTTTATTTCATAAAGAAGAGATATTACTCAACTTTACTTTGGTAGTACCTCATTAGTGATTTTGTGATATTTATCATTTGAACATTCTTATTAACATATCTATCCAACCTTCTTGTTGTAGCTTTTGCAAGCTAGAACCACGGCTCAACTTTATTCTAAATGGTAGTTATCTTTACATTATAGGTCCAATAGCGTGTCCGTATATTGATAGAGTATTTTTAAATTTAATTGTGTAAATTTTAGAGTAGGTCTTATAAGATCATACCTCTTTGATATTGTGATGATTGCATATATTAATAGTTTAAATTTGTATTGTATTTGTAAAGAGCATTGATGGATATGCTTCTATTTTAGCAGCTTGTTCTAAATAAACCATGCGTATTAGCTTTAAAGTGTCATATTTTTTTCTTTATTATGTTATAGGGATATTTGTTTGATTTACTTATCATTCTTTTATTTCTTCAATAAGTTGTATCCTTGTGTTGGTATATATTGTTAACACAATTTACGATAACATGCATATTTTTCCTACAAATTTGAGACATATAATATAAATTTTATGTTTAGTAACATTTAATAAGAATTTTAGTAGTAAAATATATTACCTTCATATTTAAAGATCTTAAAATTTGACAGTGCTATTATATACTTATCTTTGATCGTGTTTTTAAAAACTGATCCTTTATTGGTAGTCATGTCCCCAAATAAATTTACTTGCATCTTATCTAGCTTATTATATCTCGCAACATAGTTGTCAATGACTTCACTTTAGTTTCTATTATAAGATTATTTATATGTAATTTTATATTAAGTTTATGATTCCTTTAGTATTTCAAGAATAAAGTATGAAAATTTATAAATACTTATTAATTTTTCTTGTATCTTTTACGGAGATTGCTTTTTTTTAATTGGAACGTAATTGTTCAATATGTTCTTCAAGGGGAACTCATCGGTGCTCTTTGCTAGATATACCTTTTGTCAATGTCAGTTCAAGTGATTCATGAATGTTTTCGAATTTTCGGTTTATTTACTTCACTTCTCTATTTGAAATAAAAACAGATTGATTTTTTAAAGGAGATCTCTGAACTTTATGATAGATTCTCCATACAAAATTCATTGTATTTTTTCACTATATAAATATTATTAACATTAGAGATGAATGTTTATACATTATAATCAATTAATACTAACTTATTATACTATAATCTTTTTTTAGTTTTATGTAATTTCGTCTTCTATCAATTTTACTACTAAAATTATATGTAGTTTCTTAAATTTATATAGTAATGTTAATTTTTAATCTGTCATATATTTTTTAAATTGTTATTCCTTAACTGGATAGTTTTAATCTTCGTAATTGTTATTTTTTACCAGCGTTAACTTAGACCACCTTTAGATGCTGAAAAGAGATGATAAACTTTAAATTGAAACTTAAATTTATATATCTTAATGAAAGAATATCAAACATTTATTCTTTTCTTTGCCAAATTTCAGCCTTTTGTGATTTTGAACTTTTGAAGGTGTATTTTTTAATTTTTTAAACTTTAATAGTATTTTTTGAAAAATAAAATAAAATTTAATGTTGGGTTGTTGTAATTTTAATGTTTTATGAGTTGCCGATAAGTTTTTAAATGTTAAGATGTTTCTTTGAACTCTGAAATTTTGAGCGTGTTTTTTGCAATTACTAAAACTTTTGAGTTATTTTTTGACAAATTTAAATTTTCAACGATCTGCTGATAATTTTCAGATTTGATGTCTATCGGTTATAAGTTTTAAAATTTTAGGAGTTTTGTGATTTTTAACTTTTGAGGGGTTTTTTGTAATTTATGTAACTTTGAGGTTATTTTTTACAAATTTTAAATTTCCAAGTGCCTAATGATAATCTATGAAATCTGTCTATGTTGTTTATAAGTTTTAAAATCTCTGAATTTAGGGTGTTTTTTCTAATTTGAACTTTTGAGGTTGTTTCTGCAATTTTAGAAATATTGATGGTGTTAATTGCAAATTTTAAGTTCCTTGGGGCAATTTTTAATTTTTAGATTTCATGTTTGTTATTTTAAGTTTTGAAAAGTCAGGGTGTTTTAGTAATTTGGAACTTTTAAAGATATTTTGTGTAATTTTTGAATTAAATCTTAATCTTATTTTTTTAAACTTGTTGAGATATAGGTAGTTTATGTGGGGTTAATATAGGATATAATTAGTATTTAGATAGATTAAGATTTAAGTAAAAAATTTAAAATATATTTCACGTAGTTTGTTAATCTTTTTTTTATTGTTGAGCAGTTGATAGTTATCGTGGGATTAGATAACATATAATTAGAATTAGAATAGATTGAGATTTAAATAAAATATTCAAAATAGTGAAAGGTAATATTGATCATAGAAAGATTTTTCTGAACTCGTGCTTTTAAAGGGAGTATGATATACATCTTTTATCAAAACAAACCAAAATTAACAGCATGAGAAAATCTATGCTGACAAAACAAAAGAAGGAAGAGCCAGAGATAGTAGGCTAAGGTTTACCTAGAAGCAAATGATGCAAAGGCATATAACTGATCATTTACTAATACAACTATGAAGCCCATGACAATCACTATGAAAAGTCCAAATTAGAAGAATTACCAACTTGAAAATCAAATCCTACATCAATGAAGTCATACTAATTTTTCTACCTAACTGACCAAGATATAAAGGTCTAATACTCAGATCTCTTAAGGTTTGCAAAGCGACTATTCAATACCATTTAGATAAGGTGTTGAATGAAACCTTCCAGAAAAGACCTTATATGGGGTTTACTTGTTATTCATGGTCTTTATATATCAAAGGATTAAATGAAAACTTCAGGAAAACACCCCAAAAGCTAAGTGGGCAGGGGGAGAAACCCACATCCCAAATAAACGCACATTGAATTATCATTCAGTCAATATGGACTAAATGGACCCTAACATACCACTATGATTAAGTAGTCATGCTGCACAGACGGCTACATTTGCACTCTGCAATACTTGAGTGACCCCTAACTATTCCATAGGGAACACTGCAATGCTGATTGACATCTATGCCACTCACTTGCAACTGGGGAGGAGGTCAGCTCTTAACACCATTTGCCAGAAACCTGGGCAAACTCTCTCCAAGACAACCCAAATCTCTAATAAAACCGCACCAGATCACAAGTTAGTTAATTTCAGACTAAATGAATCCATAGAAAACCCGATGCAAAAAATTTAAAAATCACTTCATGATGTGTTAAAGGGGCACTTCTGATAAGGATTAAGTACAACTATGCATCTTGAACACTGAAAATAAACCCTAGAAACTAAATTGAGGAACAACTACCTCCACTTAAGAAAATGTCTGGTCCAACTCATTCAAATTCATCTAGTAGCTAAGAAGCCGCAATCGCAAACGAAATCACTCCAAAAGCCCTAAAAACTGAAAAGAGAGTAGCAGACCAGAGTTTAACCCTTCAAGGTCTTAATATTTGGAGAACACACAACTTTCAAACATTTAGCTGCAGCACTGAATGGGACTTTCAAGACAAAGATTTGTTTTTCTTTTTCCTTTTTACACCAGATTAAGTGAAAACCCCCAACAATTGCATTCTTATTTGTCAAATGTATAACTGCTAAACAAGATTCAACTACTTGCATTTTACAAACACAAAGAAAAGAAATACATCTTAACCGTATCTTTATCCCCTTCTCGTTCAATTTCAGATCAAAATCGCTCCAAGAAAAGAAGAAAAGCCCTAGAAACTGAAATAGAGTAGAAAACTAGGGTTTCACCTGTCGATTGTCGGTGACCTTGAGCACGAGCTTTCCATCGCAGTGACGGTACTTCATCACGTACCGAGACTTCAAGAAAAACAAAACTAAAACAAGATCAGATCAAAAGAACACCAAATTAAGAGATCAAAAAGATCAAGGAAACGAAACATCGGAGGGGGATTACCGATTCAGGGTTGTCTTTGAAGAGTTGAACCGATCGTTCGACGAAATCGTCCCAAGAATCGATGTAAACCATTGCTTTCAAGTCGGAGATGGAGAAATTTGACGAATGGTTGACTTCTCGTTCTTAATCTTGGTTTATTTATTTTCTAGGATTTTTCAGTTTCATTTCTTTTTGGTATTTAGGGTCTGTTTGGTTATTTCCTAAAAACCAATAAATGGAAATGAAAAAGTGAAAATATCAAAAATTACAATTTCATCCATTTCCATCCCTAAAACTCACCCACAACATCTAATAAAATATTATTTTTATCCAACAACTCATCCACAATATCTAATAAAAAAATATTTTTATCTAACAATTCATCCACCACATCTAATAGAATATTATTTTTACCCAACAACTTATCCACCATATCTAATAAAGTATTATTTTCATCCATAACATCACTCTACTCATCTCATCTCATCATTTCAAATCACTCACATCATCAAATAAGATGATGACAACTCATCTCATCTCATTAACATTTTATTTCCACCTATTTTCTCCCAAAAAGCTAGGAAAACGATTTCCTTAAGTGTGGGTCATATCATCCAATAATATAATGACAACTCATCTCATCTAATCTATTTTCTTATTTTTAAGAATAAACCAAATAAAAGAAAACAACCTATTACAAGAAATTCTTTTTTTTTTCACCAACCAAACAACATCAAAATAATTTTTCTTAAAAAATCATCCTATAATAAGGTGTCAACTAACATCATCTCATCTCCATTTCTTTGATTTCCTTCTTTTTTTAAGCCAACCAAAATTTCCAAAATAATTTTTCTTAGAAATAATTTTCCATTTCTTTGATTTCCCTCTTTTTTTTAGGCAAACAAACAGCGCCAAATGTCGGCTCACGTGCTACTCACGCGTGAGGTAACCTATATTGGTATTATTAAGTTTTTTTTAATGAAATGGTATTATTAAGCTTTAAATACAGTTTTTTTAATACTTTTTTAGATTTTTTTTTTTTAATAATAGAACAGACTTCTTTCCCTGCCAGCTGCTGAATTTTCTTTTTAATCTAGAACAAGCATCATTTTGTTTGAGAACAGAGTCTAATTTCAAACTTCAAATAAATGATTTCTTGGTCTGACATAAGACAAAATTGTTGTAAGCGTCAAATATTTCTAGATAATTTGTGCTTAAACTAAAACTTAGAAATTTATGGATTAAAATAGATCTAATTTTAGGGTCTAATATGAAAAATCTTACTTAAAAAATATTTATTTATTTAAAATTTTGAATTTATATATGAGAGATATCATAATTACAAACATGGTGAGAGAGAGATCATAATTAAGTGCCTACGCTGGACATGACTTCCAAAATACATATTAAGCACCAATGCCGGAGCGATTTAAATTAATTGAAAACAGAGATGAAACCGCACGCTCTAGTTCTTGTCTTCAATCAAGAAAACAAAGTTATTTTTAGGCTTTTAGCGCTTCTCTCAAGTATATCAAAAAGAGGCAGAAAAGCTCATACACTTCGAATAAGCCTCCAAACAATTCATTACTATATCTGGTTGTTTTACCTTCTACAATACCCACAGCAACTCCATGACATAAAGCAACATTTGCTCACATTGAGCTAGTCAACTTATTATAGAAATTTAAGGGGGGAAAGATCAAAGGAATTCACATAACCTTGTTCCTAAGAAGCTGATAAAGCATCAATAATGCTAAGTATGACAATAATTTGCCAATAATGCCAAGTGTACCAAACCATATTGATAGAAGCATGAAAAGAATAAGAAAATATATCAAACACCTGCGCAAGTAACATCTACCATGATCCATGTACCGATAATCACTGAGGCACCTGATAATTCTAGCATCAGACCTAATGCACAAGATGCATGCTGACATGTACCGATAATCACTGAGGCACCTGATAATTCTAGCATCAGACCTAATGCACAAGATGCATGCTGACAGTAATTCAACATTTGAACTCATTGAGCTACATTTTTCAATCATCCTGTCATCAGAAATAGAATGAAGTAATATGCTTTACCTGCTGGATCGAAAGACCTTTCAGGGTTTCTTTTAACCCCAGCGATGACATCATATATTTTAAGTACAATCTTAAGCAGAAAGAGCAAAGCAACAGAAGACGAAATCAAATAACCCAGACACAAAAACCTACAACATACCTGCAGGTATGAGGACATGAAGCTTGAACAGGATAAAAAAGAAAAAGAAAAAGAATTTAGGAATTCAGCACATAGATAGGGAATAAAACTGAAAGCTTTCCTGAGCTGCCATCTTATCAGTAGTCGAAGAGGTAGGCAAAATATGACAGGGCAAAATATGATAGCTTACCTAGCTCAAGGGAGAGCTTCTAGTGTACCAAAGCTCATAATCAGAAACCAACAAGCTCGGCTTTGTTTGCGCACGTAAAGCACAAAACACTTAATAAACAACAAAGGCACTGAAGCACCAACCAGCGCCACTGTCTACTAGCGTACCTTGTATGAAAACCTGAAGCGACTATACTCATACTCCACCACAAACTCTTGAGAACTTTTGGAAGTAGTTCACAAAAGCAAATAGACACTAGGAAATTCAAACACACGAAACACACTCTCCATTAATCACAAGGTCAGTTTTTTCTACTATTCGACAATGTGTGGTTGCGCGATTTACCCATTCGCATCTCGCGAGACCTCAGACTTATTTAGTTGCACAAGATTAAGCGTATCTGAACATAATACCGTAAGTAGTTTATATCCTAAGATACTTGTAGATCATGAGTATGTTCCTAGTGAGAAGAAGAAAGTGGAGCCATTTCAGGACCAATGGTTGGAAGTGAGATCACGAAAATTACAGTACTAACTCATATACAGTCCATTTCAAGGTTCTCAGCCATTTGCCTATCCTGCTTAATTGGCTTTTTCATACCCAGAACTCGACCCAAATCTGACTATACCAGCTGAAGACATTGTCTATTCTCCATTCTGCTCTTGGTCCTATCTATATTTAACGGCAATACAGTTTGTAAATTACATTACCAACTGGCTCCATTTTTGCAGTATAACATGAGTATTTGGTAATTCTTCTCTATAAAAGGCATTTAATTCCATTTTTTCCGCTTCTCAGGACAGCAATTCTCATTTTCTCTAAGGACATGAATAGCTTTAAGATCATAAGAAGACATATACTGAAACTAAGAGATCCATCTTCCTACTGAAATCCAGACAACACAGATGACACATTACTTTAAACTGACTTTTTTTTAAAAGCAAAATAACAGGTAAAAGAGAGATTTCTCAATGTTCCTACTATTTTAGAATGGATTACAGGATGCTACAGCAAACAAAACACAATTCACATGGCATTCTAATTTGTATGAACTCATATAGAGTAGATATTTAAACAATGGAGAATAGCTAATAGGTTTAAAGCCTTTGACAAAACCTACACTGCACACTTCCAAGATTCTCCATGGTACCGTATTATTGTAACCTTACTTATCTGCACCTTCAACAATTCCCAGTTAAACCACTGTTTTTGTAGGCAAAAAAGTAAACTCAAAAGTCCAACCAAGAGAATAAAACTTTTTTCCCTTAAACATGAGTTTAAGCCTTACCTATGTGTCATTTGTAAACTCATATATAACCTTTTCTAAACGTAGAACACTTTTAGTAATGCTAATAAGCAAGCCCCCAGCTACATTGATGTATCCTTTCTAACAAACGAAACATTAAATATTCAGGCATATCATCGAGCAAATACCTTGCAGAATTTCAAAAATAAGTAATACACCTAAAATTTTATCTTCTTGTAGAAACACAAACCACCAAGCATAATGCAGCATGTCAAAGATCAAATCCTTTCACTAACGACCAACACATGTTTAGCAAACAAATCAAGGGGAAATTCTTTTAAACTAAGTACTTCCTGATTTTGACTCATAGAAGTACATCAAACCAATGAGGTAGTTTCTTATGCACCAATGACCTACAAGGTCTTCAGGAAAAATGTCCAATTTGTTTGTAGTAGTTTTTTCTATCAGTAAAGAAGCACCGATAACATAAATAAGATCAGGTTGCAGAACCTTGGAATAATTCATCAAAGTTAGGATAAATTGTAGTGTTACCCAAAAAGGAGAAGAAAAGATAGACTAAATAACAAAGAATTCGTGACCAATAAGGATCTGATCCAGGTAAAAGCAACCAACCGGGTCCCATCATTGGAAAGAAATAGATAAAAGAAATTAACTGCGAGTGTTAACGTGAAAAATAATGGATGAAGTTTAGCAAATTCCACCTAGAAACCCTGACTGAAAACTAATTTCAATTATCTAAATACAATTAGCTGAATTTTCTTGTTTAATCCACGAACTAACTCACATCCATCATATCATGTTAGTTGTATTACTACAAATGAAAGCAACAGGCAAATGAAAGGGGTAAAAATATACGCATACAGAGACTTATGTTCAGCAGCAAAATAGATGTAACTAGAAAAGTATTATTCGAGCACATCAGTGCACATATATTTCATTTCAAAGAACTCATCAAACAAGTTAGGCAAGCAAACTGTATCTTCTAGCAGAACCAAACACCAAGCATCATATCTAAGATCAACATTAAGAGTTACAACCAATGAACTTTAGAGTTGCACGAAATTTCAATAGAATGATCTAACAAATAAAGAGGTGGAACGAACTCAATGAATCTCATGATTCCAGCAGTAACACGAAATATGACATTATTATGATCCACAACAAAACTACACTATATGACCAAATTAAGCACATGATGTTTAGAAACATTATATAAAGAAATTTATAAAACCAACAACTAAGCATATGCTGCATACATATCTCAATCTCCCCAATACCTCTCCCTTCACCCAAAAAAATCCAACGAGATTAAGGTTCATAAGCTCATCTACCTCACAATTATTACCTTGACTACCAAGAAAGGCCAACACCAGAAACCAAAAAGAGGGAGAAAGATAGAACCTTTACTCAACCATTTCACCGTCCCATCGGATTACTTGGGTTAATTCCAAGAAGCATATTGTTACCTCCGGGCAAATAAGCCACATTCGGCGACTTAGCCAGAGTGGCTGCAATCTCCCTTGCTGCCTCGATCCTCCTAAGCTCCAATATCCCTGTCCCCACCGCGTAGCCTCCGATATAAGCTTCGCTGCCTCACTCTCTCCCTCAGCCCTGATGACTGCCGCCCTCCTCTCCTGCTCTGCCTTTGCCACGAGGAACTTCGACCTTTCTGCCTCCTGTTGTGCCACTTGCTTCTTCTCCACTGCCACTGAGAACTCTGTCCCATAGCTCAAGTGTGTGATCGCAACTATAAAAAATGATGAATGTTTTATTAACATTTATGATTCCATGTAGTGCACTCGAGCTTATATCACTGTTACAAGGCACATTTGTTATAATAAAGAATAATCAATGCATGAATGTTATAATGAAAGATTAAGCAGTACAAGAGTTGGGATGACACAAGTCAACTAGTCTTGATTATCATCATATGTACTATATTTAAGTCATGGTATTATTCTAATAGGTATCTTTTACTTATATACGCTCCAAATCAACCATATTACGAATTCAGCCACAAATCTAGATACTCACTAATTACATACTAAGCAATGGCATTGAGATAAATCCCAAGCATGCTCCTAACATTTTTATTAGTTGTTTAGATCAACTTTCCCCCTTCCGCCATTTAAAAACTAACAATATTGGTTTTGGGTTTTTCAACTCCATGTGACGGGATTGGGTAGTAAACTAGCAAATATCTAATTTTGGGAATTTTACCAATAAGCACTGCTATTTGCTTCATATTTTTTCCCCAATAATATTTATAGTCTAAATTTTGCACTTTGAAGATCGGACCATTCCTTATTTAAAGCAGAAATCCCGGTTAGCATGCTAGAACTGATAATCATGAAATTGAATATTCAAATCAGAATCATCTACATTAAAAGAAAAACCACGTAGGGCTTGTTGTATCATGCTAACCGTCATCGAGAACAATGTTGAAGTCCCTCGCCCTCCGAACCAACGAATCCCGAACGAGCGCCGACACGTGCGGCCTCTCCGTCAGCAACTGATCGGCATTGAACTGCGCGACAACAGCCTTCAGCACCTCATTCCCGATCGAAGGCAGCACCTTCTCATCATACTCCGTCCCCAGCTGCTTAAAGATCGTCGGCAACCTCTCGACGTCGGGCCTCGATAGAAGCCGGAGGGTCAGGTTCACCATCTGGAGATCCTTGGTGCCGGAGTTCGAGGTGAAGGTGTGAGGGCGAGTTCGGATGTCGAAGATGTAGGGTTTCTGCAGCCATGGGACGAGGAAGTGGGTCCCCTCCCCGGCGGTGGTGTCTAGGACGCCGCGGAATCGGTCGAAGAGGACGGCGCGCTGCGCCGCGTCGACGGTGTAGAGGAGGAGTTGACGGCGGTGGCGGCGGCGCCGAGGCCGAACGGCCGTCCTGGCGGATGGTTGTGAGGAAGGAGACTGCTTGCTGTCCGCCGCCGGAGGCCATGGAGTTAAACCCTAGGAGAGAGAAAAAGAGAGAGAGAGATGAAAACCGTAGCGGAGGTGAGGTTAGGGTTTTGATTTTTGGGGGTGTTTTTGTGCTTGGGGAGCAAGAATTAACTGATGTGGGCTTGGGCCAGGCCTAGTCAAATGCTCATACGTGGCTTCTGTTTTGGGCTTCAGTCATCTGTAGGAGCCGGAAAGAGTACGCTCACTCTTCCCCACTATTTATTTTTATATTTTTTTCTTAACTTCTACTCTATAGTGAGGCTTCATACTCAAATTAGTCCCCCTACTTTAGTATTTATCAGCTCCGTCCTTATACCAGGGCTTGATACTCGATTATTCCCCCTATTTTATTTTAACTTTTAGCATTTTGTAGTAAACTCCAGATAACTTTCACCATCACACTAGACCCTCCAATAACCTTCAAAAATCACACCAAATCTCCAATAACTTTCAACAGCTCATTAAAACCTCTAATAACTTTCAAAATAACACTAAAACCTGCAATAACTTTTAAAAATCATACTAAAATCCCAATAACTATTGCAGAAAATCGTCAAAGTTAACACCATGACATCTGAGGTGGTGCATGCAACCCATAAGACTTAATAATCTGAAATGCCTCTTAAATTATTAAAAAAAACTTTATGACCTTTTTAATATTTTCAATCCTAAAAATAGGAATCTCCCATTTTTCGTGATTCATTTTCTTCTTGCTCGCCGGGATAGGATTATGAACAATAATTATTTTTTTCCCTTTTGTTCAAATTGACCTTCAAAATCCCTTTTTACTTTTTTTTTGTTCTAATTGATGAGGGTTATCTGCAAGATGCAGAAACTGTTAGACTTAACGTTATTAAATCATAGAGATTAAACATTAAGAGCGGAAGCTTACACCTGAATCCATGGATTAGACTTGAGTTGGACTTTGGATCTTCTAATCTTAGGGTTTCTCTCCTTAAGATCTCTTTAGATGGGGATAAGAGAATGAGAGTGGCTAACCCTAGATTAGGGACCATAACTTCATATATATAGGTGTTATACATTTGTAATTTGGCCCCTCATGAAATTACAATTACAACCTGGTATCTGCACATATAACCCCATGATTTATTTAAATACCTATTAACCCAAATTAATTGATCACTTTAGTGGGTTATCCTGAAGAATAGCAATACACACAAATTAATCATATGTGCCCACAAATAGATTTAATTAGATTTAAATCCAACAATCTCTCACTTGGGCACCATATGATTCCTTAAATTGTGTATAACCTTATGAACTCAAAATTGCTATCACTGAAAAGGTATTTCTGAACAATCTTGTCCATTGACTATATCAATATAGAATCAAAGTGGCCTTCGTCACATTTATCGTGACTTGACCCATCAATGGTCACATATACCAATACAATCAAACGACATAGATCAATCATGGATGTGCAGCATGAAATTTACATGCAATGTGATCAGTACATGTCTATTTTCAACTGGTCCTACTTTAGTGAGGTCAAAACCAAACATAATGTAACAGAGTGTTTTAACTGAATACTTTATTCTGATCAGACAATACAACCAAACACAAAACACCAAAAAATTACAAACTCCCACTAAATCATGATATCCTCTAATATCACCATACCCATATGAGTGGTGTGCTCATGAAAGACCTTGGGTGGCAATCCCTTAGTAAGAGGATCTGCTATCATGGAGTTTGTCCCAATGTGTTCTATGGATATCTGTCCACTCTGTACCCTTTCTTTCACAACTAGGAACTTAATGTCAATATGTTTTGACTTAGTTGAGCTCCTGTTGTTATTAGAATACATTACTGCAGATTTATTATCACAATATAACTTTATTGGTCTTTTCACATTTTCCAGAAATGCGCAGTCCAGTGACAAAATTTCGTAGCAATATTCCCTGATTGGATGTCTCATAGCAAGCTACAAATTCTGCTGTCATAGTGGATAAAGCTACAAGTGTTTGTTTAACACTTTTTTATGATATAGCTCCTCCTGCTAACATATAAATGTAGCCTAATGTAGACTTCCTGCTATCTTGGCATCCAGCAAAATCAGAATCGGAGTACCCAATGACCTCCAGCTGTTCTGATTTTCTATATGTGAGCATATAATCTTTTGTTTTCTGAAGATACCTCATAACCCTTTTAACTGCTATCCAATGATCCATATCAGGGTTGCTTAAGTATCTGCCTAACATCCCAATAATGTACGTAATATCCGGACACGTACATACTTGAGCATACATTAGACTTCTTACACACAAAGCATAAGGAATCTTCTGCATTTTCTGAATTTCAAGGTTGTCTTTAGGGCACTGATTAAGACTAAACTTGTCTCCTTTAGCCACAAGGGTGTCTCCTGGTCTGTAATCTTGCATGCCAAACCTTTTAAGTACTTTATCGATATAGCTCTTTTGTGATAATCCAAGTATACCTCGAGAGTGATCTCGATGTATCTGGATTCCTAATATAAAAGAGACGTCCCCAAGATCTTTCATCTCAAAATTCTTTGATAGAAATCTCTTGGTTTCGTGCAACATGCCTATATCATTAGTGGCAAGCAATATGTCATCGACATACAGAACCAGAAAAATATACTTACTCTCACTGAACTTATGATATACACAATCATCAACAATGTTCATCTTAAAACCGAACGAGATAATTATTTGTTAAAACTTGTAATACCATTGACGAGGAGCTTGCTTGAGTCCATAGATGGATTTCCTTAATTTGCAAACCATATTCTTTGGGTCTCCTGACACAAAGTTTTATGGTTACACCATATAAATCATATCATCAATGTCGTCATTGAGAAATACAGTCTTAACATCTATCTGATGTAACTCAAGATCATAATGAGCAACAAGTATCATGATTGTTCTGAAAGAGTCTTTCGATGAAACCGGAGAGAAACTCTTTATATAATCAATACCTTCGTTTTGAGTAAATCCTTTAGCTACAAGACATGTCTTATACCTCTCTACATTACCATTATCATCCTGCTTGGTTTTAAAAATCCATTTATAACCAATTGGTTTTGCACATTCTGGCAATGGGACAAGTTCCCAAACCTTATTGTCTTGCATAGACTTATACTCTTTATTCATGGCATCAATCCACTGTTAAGAGTTAGAACTTTTCATGGCCTGAGAGAAGTTGATTGGATCATCTTCCAACATTCCATTACTTTCCTCATGTTCTTGGAGAAATACAATATAATCATCCGAAATAGCATTTCTCCTTTCTCTCATGGATCTCCTTAATGGCACTGGTTCTTGAGGTTGTTGTGTTTGTTCTTCTGGAACAGGGAGTTGTTCAATATTATCATCTTGAGGTTCCGGATTTACTTCTTGAGCAACAACAGCAGGTATATGAACCTGAATATTGTCAAGAGTAACTGTATGAATTGGATCTGAAGCCAATTCCTCCTCAAAAGCAATGTCTCTAACCTTATTTCTCCCCCCAAACTCAACATCCTCAAAGAATGTTGTTGTTCCCATCTCAAAAATATTCCTGAGTGTGGGATCATAAAACTTATAGCCCCTAGAGCGTTCAAAATATCCAATAAAGTAGCTACTAACTGTTTTGGAGTCCAATTTATTTTCATTTGACCTATAAGGCCTTACCTCAGCTGGACATCCCTAAATATGTAAGTGCTTTAAATTAGGCTTTCAACCAGTCCAAAGCTCATAAGGTATTTTAGCAACTGCTTTACTTGGTACTCTATTCAGAATGTAAGTTGCTGTCTTTAGTGCTTCTCCCCAGAGTGACTCAGGTAAAGAAGAATGAACAATCATACTTCTTACCATATCCTTAAGAGTCCTGTTTTGTCTTTCAGCTACACCATTCATGCTAGGTGAACCCGGCATGGTGTACTGTGGGGACGATACTGCATTCCTCTAGGTATCTAGCAAATGATCCTGCATGTTATTCACCTGAACCATCATATCTACCGTAGTACTCACCACCACGGTTAGATCTAACGGTTTTAATTCTTCTGTTGAGTTAATTCTCAACTTCAGCTTTATAGGCTTTGAACATGTCTAGAGACTCAGATTTTTTATGAATAAGATATAGGTACCCATAACGTGAGTAGTCGTCTATGAATGATATAAAATATTATTGGCCATTCTAGGATGCCGTAGGGAATGACCCACAAATATTCGTATGTATCAATTCTAAGACATCCGAAGATCTGTTGGCACCTAATCTCTTAACTTTGGTCTGTTTTCCCTTGATACATTCAACACATACGTCGAAGTCCGAAAAATCAAGGGAATCCAAAATGCCATCAGACACAAGACGCTCAACTCTACCTTTTGAGATATGACCCAAGCGCTTATGCCATAATATTGCTGAATTTTTTTTTAATTTATGCTTAGTACCACGCGATTCCGCATGCAAAGTTTCATTATAAGAAGCAATTATATCAAGCAAATATAGGTTGTTATAAGTACTCAAGTAACCAGTTCCCATAATATTTGAATTAAAAGATAAACTGAATTGATTGTTTCCAAATGAACAAGAATAACCTAATTTGTCCAATACAAAAACTGAAATCAAATTCCGTCTAAAAGACGGTACTACAAAAGTATCTTTCAAATCCAAATAAGAACCAGTTCCTAATAGCAACCTAAAGTGCCAAATTGCTTCCACATCTACCGATTGTCCGTCGCCCACAAAAATATGTCTTTCAACATCACTTGGCTTTCGGTAGCTCAGGCAACCCTGCATAGAAACACTTATGTGAGTAGTAGCACCAGAGTCTAACCACCAAGTGTTTCTAGGTACTGAAGCTAAATTAACCTCAGAACAGACCAAAGTAAGGAACGTGCCCTTATTAGCACGTCAGGCGTGATATTTGGTACAATCCTTCTTTACGTGTCCTGGCTTGTTACAGAAGAAACAACCCTGATTATCATTATGTTGTTTCTTCTGAACTAGACCCTTAACAGCTTCATTATCATTCTTTCTTTTCTTGCCCTTATCCTTAGAAGCCTTAGCCAAATGAGCAATTTCTGTCTTATCTTGCTTCAACATG